GGTTCTTAGACAACCCCACTTCTGCAACCCCTGGATCAAAGACATAGCAGGTCACCCCTGGTCCCTCTACGTGAGAGATAGGAGATGGCTCACATGGGTGGAGAGAGGTATGGCAGCTCAAACACCTATGGTCAGCGGAACAGAAGGACTGGTTGACGGCCCAGGAACTTAGAACCTCCCTCAGGGGATGCCACGCGCTTGAAACCAACTTAGCAGCGATGCATCACAACATCCTTGCCCTTAGAGAAACATTTACTTGGAAAATAGGTGATTGGGGCATACTTATTACGCACACTCCACCTGAGAGGGCCTACCGCTTCGTATCTGGATCAGATTCTTCAAGCTACCGATCGAACTTCTTATCCTACCCTATCGCCAACCATACCCTCCAGGAGCTCGTAATCCAGAACGAGGACCCCCAAGCCACGCGACTAGAAACCTTCCTCCTCAGGAAGGTCGAGTCTCCCAGAACAGACCATGGGTCATATCCCAGCCAGAACTCAGTATCGAAGACCTGGAATTTGACCCCAAGGAATGGAGGTGGAAACAGGGCACCACAGGGAAGTCGAGAACAACTTCCCAATACGATGTAAAATTCGACTACGACCTCGGACAACAAACCACAGATCCAAATCCAAGGTTTGTAGAGAAATGGCAGACCAGCCTGAATCTGGACCCGCCGGCCCAATTCTCCATCATGTGGGCCAAATACCTTCTTATCAGACCAGTTCGAATCCAAAGTATGCAATGGCTCCTTGCACACTTAGCCCTCCCGATCAACCAATGGCTTCACAAAAGAAGGAAACACTCAGACCCGAACAGCTCGGAAATCTGCGCGATGTGCAACAAAAACACGCCTGAAGATATCCCACACTGCCTACTCTTCTGTCCTGAAGCGACCTGGTACTGGAACAAAAGTTCAGAAACTATGGTCTAACCTCTTCTCAGCCCCACCCCCCAACCCTAACCATTCTACTCCTCCCGAACACTCCCGGGCACCTCAAGGGCAGCAGGGATGTCTGGTTCCAGTTACTCAGAAATCTAACTCTCTGGATCATATGGAAACAACGATGCACACAGAGAATTGAGGGAACAGAGGTGGCAAAGGAAGAAATGTGTACTCTCTTGATACACATGGCGGAGACCGAAGTCCACAGCAGATGGCGGACGATATCTTCATCAGCGAAAAACAGATCAGATAAGCACGCAGCTAAGAGACGAGCATTCCTAAAGGACTGGCTAATAAAGGGCAAGGTGGCCACCATAACGGACAACAAACTGATATGGAAGAAGTGGTGTCAAGGGTAATGGAAAGGTGACAACCGAACTTCGGAGTCCAAGACCGAAGATCAGTACGACAAACACAGGAACAAGCAGGTCGATAAACAGGGTGTGAGAAAGCCAAACATGCACGAACGTCAGCAAAACCTCTCACTTTTCTAGTTAGGTAGAGGAATATCTGGCAGGCCTATACAGCAGCCTGAGAGGAACGAGTTGAGAGGGCAAGCTGACAGCAATCCTCCTACAAGGGAGTAATCAATGTTGGTCAGGGATCCTTCGGCCTGACGGAAGGAAGCATGAGTGTGCATTACATGTAAATCCTTTGACTTGCCGGGGGAATAGGAACCGTACTGACGCTCCCCAGAATGGAAAGGAGCCAGGACCATAAGGACCTGTTTTGTAAAAATAATAATAATAATAATAATAATAATAATAATAATAATAATAATAATAATAATTAAAAAAAAAAAAAATGCTAATGATAATTGCAATAGCAGATTGTTATAAATGATAACAATAATAATCGTAATAATAGTAATAGTAACAGTAGTCGTAATAATATTAATAATAATAATAATCAATCTTCGTTATTGTTCGAATAATAAAGAATGGTAATAAGGAGGGTCGGAGAGAAAATGGAATAAAATTTGAAGGCTTTGGGAGGGAGAGATGGTGAGGGGGTGCTGTGTGAGGGGCCCGTGGGTAGGAGAAAAAGGAAAAGGGGGGAGATGGGGTGATGCGTGGAGGATGGGAGAAATGGGGGGGGAAGGGAAGGACGGCTGAAGGTACGACTGGATTCGGATTTGGCGTGAGGGATCGGGAGGGAGAGAGGGTCGGATGGGGTTTAGGTGTTGAGGAATGAGGAGGGTTGTTGCAATGAGGAGTGGGGACCCGGTAGGTCGTCTGTCGTGGGGTAATAGGGAGGGGGTAGGGGGGGTAGGGGGGTTCGGTGGGGAGAACGGGCAGTAAGATGAGGGCGGGTTGACATAACGGTGTTTTAACTTTGCTCACTCTGTGACCCTGTTCTGTTGGAGTTCGGACCTCTACGGATCATGAAGACTCTCTGAAGATCGTGACTGCCTCACCAGGCTCTTCTGATCTAGACACTGATGGAAACCGTGTTCGACGTGGATTCGCTGTCAATGGAACTATCCTCTTGGTGTATTGTCGTTTCTCCCAACATGGAAGCTTGCCCTGTGCTGTTCCTCGTGCTGTCCGCTCGTTGTTTCTTGCTCTCTCGACTGTAGGATGAAATGCTTTCTTGGAGGAGACTGTTCAAACCTTTTGGGCCGAAATAATGACGAGCTTGGATGTTGTTATCTCGTCCTTTCTTCTCCTTGTCTTCTCTGAATGACTTCTTTTCCCCTGTCTTCTGGGTCTTCCTTCCTTAATTAGTAAAGCTGTCCTCCCTGAACCTCTGCTCTTCCCTCTTCTTCCCTTTCGTTGTCCTTTCCCTTTCTTAGCATAGGATCATGATGATACCCGTGCACTCTTTCCCCTTTCTCACTTCTTCTCGACTTTTCCTCTTCTTAGCCTCTCCCCATATCCTTTTCTTCCCTCCAAAGCGACCCTCTTCTGTCCTTTCTAGCGCTTGGATCGCCTTTGTTGGAATCAACGAAGCCATGCCCAGAGGCGTGGCTAGATGTGGCTTCGCCCCCTCTCACCTCCTGCTCCCTCCTCCCTCACAGGTTGAAATTGGTGGGAAACGCGCATCACCACGCGCGTAGCGGCTTCTCACGTGAGCGAAATTTGGGTACCGCACGGGGATGGAAAACAAGCGCACCGATTTCAGCGCTAACCGGTCGGGCGCTGGCGTACCTCCTCCTTTGTGTCTGTCTTGGAGTCAAATTAATGTCAGCTCACCCCTGCAGGACCTCTGCGCAATCTGTCAAGAGGGCGGGCTGGAAGATGTGGAACACTGCCTCCTGAGCTGTCAGAAAGTTAAACAGCTCTGGTCCAAAGCAACCGAGCTATAGAAAAAGATACCAGGCAGGCCCCTACCCACTGACCCAGTCATACTGCTTTTGGGTCTGCATACTCCCGCCGACTGTCAGGGCTTTGAGACAACATTCTATCACATACTCAGGAAGGGCTTCACTTTGGACGATATGGAAGCGCAGATGTCAAGAGACAATAGATCAAACACCAATGTTGGTGCAAGAGGCGTGGGAAGGGACACTATAGACAATAGAAGTAGAATACAGAGGCCTCTTGAAGAAGACCTGCAGGAAAGTAACAGAAAATATAGAAAACAAGGATAAAATTACAGAGGCCTTTACAAAACAACTTCCAGGAGAAGGGACAATAGCTTCAATATCCTTCAATATCACGGTCGAATCCAGTTCAGTCAATGGAGACACAACACATCATCCCCAGCTCAAACCTCTGAGTTACCCCCAGAAGTAGGTCCCACCTTACTAGTACGTCCCATAGGAACTAGTTAAGAAAGGGCGGAACCTACTAGAGATCTTAGAGACTTAGCAGGAGTCCCATAGGGAAGCTAATGAATTAGCAGAGAGAAATCACAGTTCCCCAGTCAGAGTACTAGACAAGGAAACATAAATAAAAAAGTAGGGCAGTCTATAGAAGTACACCAGGCTTAAAATACTAGGGCCAGGATGTAGAGTCATTGTAGACCAACTAGGGCGACGGTTGAGCAAATACCCCGAGGAGAGTCCAATTCACGCTGTTCCGAGGGCAAACGGATGCTTCAGGAAGAGCCAGGAAAGTCAAGATAAGCTGCATACTAGGGTTTAGGGCTTTAGCAGGAAGGACAGGAATGGCCCAGCTAGCAGTTCTAGCACTTAAAGCAATGCCGGCAGCCAAGCAGCTGAGAGGAACGAGCTAGCCAGACCAACGCAAACAGGATATACAGTTAACAAGCAGGGGCGGAGGAGACCAGACTGTGCTAAATTAGGTCCAAAAGGCTAACTTAGGCAGGGGTGAGGGGTGGTACACCCTTCCTTCAGGAAGTAATCAATGCCGTCCTTCGGGCCTTTTTCACACCATAAGGGGGAGGAGCGTGTGTGAGTACTCATTGTAATTCTTCCTGACTTGCTGGTGGAGTAGGAACTGGACTGCTCCCCAGAATGGAAAAGGAGCCAGAACCTTAAGGTTCTGTTTTTTTTTGTTATTAAAAAAAAAAAAGGGCATGGGCAAAGAAAGGAAGAGGCAGGGCCACAGGGGCAAAAAAGGAAAAAAGAAAAAAAAAGTTAGGGAAATAAGCAGGTCCCAACCTGATCGATTAGTAATTTAGTACACACGAAAAAGAGCAGCGAAGTGAAGAAAGCGTGCAACTGGCATCTCCTGAGTACACTCCAGTTTATACAAAAAGAGCAGAATCATACAGACAGAAACAAAGCATATGTTGGGGGGGCTGAGGGGGAAAGGGGGGGAAAAGGGGGGAAAGGCGGTGGGGGAAGGGGGGGGGAAGCGGTGGGAAAGGGGGAGGCATGGAGAAAACAGACGAGAAAAAAGAAAACAATGCAGGCGCATGCAGCATGTGCCCAGCGGGTGCAGCTCCCCACCAATAGACAAGAGCTCTCCTTGATTTAAAAAAAAAAAAAGAAAAAAAAAAACTTTAAAAAGAAATTTAAAAAAAAGAAAAAGAAGCATGCAGTGTGTATCAGGAAATATAATTCAAATCTTTGACAAACTCGAGATCCTACCAGATCAGAGTTCCTACCAGAAAAAAAAAAAAAAAAAAGAAGAGTGTTTACCAGAGTGAACGCTTGGGAACAACTCCATAGATCAGCTGCGAACGTCCTTAGCTCTTGGACCATCCGGCCGCCAAGAATAACCTGCAGCCACCGATTGGACCGATTCCACTTCCCAGCAATGCTGCAATTTGGGGGGAAGGAGGAGGAGGATGAGGGGGAGAGAGGATGGCACAGAGTTGGGGGGGTAGGGTGCAAAAATGGGGAGTGTAAATACTAAATACCTGAAGGATAGGGTTAAGGAAAGGACAAACGGTACATATGCCTCTGTGCTTTGACTTCTGAATCAAGGACAAACGGTACATGTGCCTTACCAACTGAGCAAGGCTTCTGACAAACCTTGACACAGCGCAGCATTTTAAAGCAAATTTAAGAAAGGCAGTAAAAGTTCATAAAACTCAATTGCTTGTTCTCTCTCTCTCTCTCTCTCTCTCTCTCTCTCTCTCTCTCTCTCTCTCTCTCTCTCTCTCTCTNTCTCTCTCTCTCTCTCTCTCTCTCTCTCTCTCTCTCTCTCTCTCTCTCTCTCTGTGTGTGTGTGTGTGTGTGTGTGTGTGTGTGTCTGTCTGTGTGCACAGAGCTCAAATTGTTGGAATACCCATGGAAGACGACACGTTCGGCAACACTGGCCTTCATCAGAAACTGTACAGACAACACTGTGCGAAATATCTAATTGAAATTTCTGGAAGACAGCGACATAAGAAATCGGGAAACAAAACGAAAGTAACACGCAAAACAATTACAAATGTCCGTGGTAAGATAAAACAGTACGCTCCCCTGACTACCAAACCAAAGACAAAGGACATAAAGCCAAGTACCCGTGTATGAAATACAAGATTCGGGGACCGAAGTCTCTCTTTGGAAGATCAAAAGAATTTTGTGAAACATGTCAAAATATAAATGCATTTCAAAATTCTGAACGAAAGTGAAAAAATAACCGGAGGCCGAACATGAGTTCGGAATTTCAAATCTTCAAATCTTCAAATATAAGGTCGAAAGAAACGAACCATCGAACAGCCGAAATGGAAATTCAATACGAGACCCTCCTAAAAACGTGTCGACTAAGGAAAGTGTAATCGATCTCTGATTTCAGAAATTGAATCGATGCAACACTCGGAGGCTCGTGTGAGCACTGCGTACAAGGACAAGAAAGTAAGAGTCTAAATTTCAGAATCCCAGGAAAGTAAAATGAAATAAAATAAAATAAAATAAAAATGAAATAAGTAAAATAGAATGAACTCACGAATTAGGGATACCGGAACATGATACCGGGGTACTTCTCAGGATATGAAGATGCAGATGCTTTTCGGAAATGACTGAATACTTTTACAAAGTGCGACCACGCGAACATCGGAACAAATGAAATCAGCAATAGCGACACGAATACTTCAAAGAGAAACGACGAAGTTCTTCAAAGTTCTTTGGAGAAATGATATTTCGATATATCGCGACCAAGTTAACATCTGGATAGCGGGAATTCTTCAAGTATGACGACGACACGATTATGATAGGAGACTACAGGGGCTAGGGTTCAGCTGGACGGGGAAGTATTTGGACCAAAGGGTATATATATTGATGACAATGGCTGAAAGGATTACCTGAGCAGAGAGGTAAAAGGGTAGTCGCAACTGTTTTGTCACATGCCATGGACAGGACATGTATTTTGTGAAAGTAAGGCCTCGCACGTGTTGTCCAATATTGCAA